GGAAGAGTATATGGAGAAAAAGAGAAGAGGTTAAGAGATGTGAATCAATGTAAAAAGAGAGCAAATGGAGAGTGGGTGAGGATGTTATCAACAAACTTTGTTTGAAAATAATGAAAAATTTTTGGAGTGAGATTAACAAGTTAAGAAAGCCTAGAGACCAAATTGATTTGTCAGTTAAAAATAGGAGATGAGAGTTATTAAATGGAGAGTTAGAGGTATTGGGAAATGGAAGGAATATTTTATGAATTGTTAAATGTTGATAAGATAAGGGAAGCTGTTAGTTCGTGTATAGGGCAAAGGAGGTATAACATCTTGTAGGAGTGAGGAAGAGCCAGTTGTGAGTGTGGGGGAAGTTCGTGAGGCAGTAGGTAAATGAAAGGGGTAAGGCAAGCTGGATTTGATGGGATAAAGATGAGAAATGTTAAAAGCATTTGGTATATATTTTTGAGGTGGTTGGTGCAATTATTTAATAAATGATTAAGAGGGTAAGGTACCTAGGGATTGGCAGAGAGCATGCATATTCCTTTGTATAAAAGGCAAAGGGGATAAAAGAGATGTAAAAATGAAGGGGGATTGAAGTGCTGGTTGAGTGTACCCCTGGTAAAGTGTAATGGTAGAGTTATAATTGAAAGAATTAAGAGTAGACGGAGAATAGGATAGCAAGATGAACAAGGAGGCTTTAGAAAGGTAGGGGTGTGTGTAACCAGAGTTTACAAGAGAAAACATTAAGTGAACAGTATTTAGATAAGGCTAAAGAGGTCTTTGTGGATTTAAGGAGTGGAAAAGGCGTATGCAGGGGTGGATAGGGGGCAAGGTGGCGATGTTTGCAAGTGTATCGGTGGGTAGGAGGTAGGTTACTGAAAGCATGAAGAGTTTTTACGAGGATTAGTGGAGGCTCAAGTTAGAGTATGTAGAACAAGAGGGAAATTTTTTTCCCAGTAAAAGTAGGCCTTAGACAAGATGTGTGATGTCACCGTGGTTGTTTAAATATATTTATAGAGGGGGTTGTAAGAGAAAGTAAATGCGAGGGTCTTGCAAGAGCGTGGAGTTAAAAGATAAAGAATCACACAGCACAAAGTGGGAGTTGTCATAGCTCTCTTTGCTGATGCACTGTGCTCTGGAGATTCGAAAGAGGAATGTTGCGAAGATTGTGGATGAATTTGGTAGGGTGTGCAAAATAAGAAAATTAAAGGTGAATACAGGAAAGAGTAAAGGTTATGAGGATAACAAAAAGATTAGTGATTGAAAGATTGAATATCAGATTGGAGGGAGAGAGTAGGAGGAGGTGAACGTATCAGAATATTTGGGAGTGGACAGTGTCAGTCGTATGGGTCTAATGAAGATGAGGTGAATCATAGAATTGATGAGTGAAAAAGAGTGAAGTGGTGCACTTAGGAGTCATGTGAGACAAGAACTTTGTCCCTTTGGAGCAAAGAGGGAATGTAATGAAAGTATAGTTTTACCAACGCTCCTATATGGTGTGAAGCGTGGGTGATGAATGTTTGCAGCGAGGAGAAGGCAGGAGGCCAGTGGAGATGTCTTGTCTGAGGGCAATGTGTGTGTGAATATAATGCAGAGAATTCGTAGTTTGGAAGTTAGGAGGAGGTGCGGATTACCAAAACTGTATTTTGTCCCAGTAGGGCTGAGGAAGGGTTGTTGAGGTGGTTCGAACATGTTAGAGAGAATGGAGCGAAACAGAAATGACTTCAAGAGTGTAATCAGTCCTGTAGTGGGAAGGAAGGCGGGGTAGGGTCTGCCTAGGAAGGGTTGGAGGGAGGGGTAAAGGAGGTTTTGTGTGCGAGGGGCTTGGACTTCCCAGCAGGCATGCGTGAGCGTTTTTTGATAGGGTGAATGGAGACAAATGGTTTTTTAATACTAGACGTGCTGTTGGAGTGTGAGCAAAAGTAACATTTAGGAAGGGATTCAGGAAAACCGCAGGCCTGACTTGAGTCCGGAGAAGGGAGTACAGTCGCCTGCACTCTGAAGGAGGGGTGTTAATGTTGCAGGTTTAAAAACTGTATGTAAAGCACCCTTCTGGCAAGAAACAGTGATGAGTGAATGATGGATGAAAGGTTTTTTCTTTTCGGGCCACCACCCTGCCTTGGTGGGAATCGCCGGTGGATAATAAAAAAAAAATATAATAATAATTCTAGCGGCTCAATCAAGTCGGGAAGAAAGCGTAGGCCCACATGTGAGAAGAATGGTTCTGTGTGCACCACATTATAAACAAATCCAGCAGCAACACATTGCGTAATGAAGAAAAAAAAAAAACTGATCGGTTTTTTGGAATAAAACGCCGACTTTGAGGTGTATTATCGTATAATGATATTTATCGTTGTAATTTCGCGTTACATGGTCTTAGGTGATACAATGGAAAACATATACAGAAATGAGATGAATATACATTACTTTTACGATGAAAACACCTTGAAACTGAGCTCAAAGTAGCGGAAATGTTCGATTTTTACAATGTTCAAGAGTAAAAATAAATCACACCACACTACAATACACGTCAACTGGGTAGTCTAATAGTTCCCTTCCTATTGCACTGATATTATTTTTACAATTATTACAGTATTGCAGTAGTCTGCATAACAGTAAATCTTCTATTTTTTGTTTGAATAAAATTTCAAAATAAAAAGCAAGAGTAATATCACAGGGACCTGGAGACATGACTGATGAACAAAGAAAATGTTATTTTAGAGCCAGGAATGTCTGCATTGTTCATTCTGGACCTTATTTTGAAATTGTCGTATTTTTTAATTTTCGTGAAATTGGCCAAATTGCAAATTTCTGACCATGTTATTGGGTAGTTGAAATCGGTAAATGGGCAGTTTCTTGTACTCAATCGATAGAAAAAATAGAGTTCTGAAGAAATAGTTATGAGTTTGATTGACTGGAATAACGGAATTAGCCGAAAATAGGGCTCAAAGTGGGCGAAATTGCCGATTTTTAAATATCGCCGAAGTCGCTAACTTCGCGAGAGCATAATTCCGTCAGTTTTCCATCAAATTTCGTTTTTTTGGTGTCTTTACAATCGGGAAAAGATTCTCTATCATTTCATAAGAAAAAATAATTTTTTTTTTTCCGAAAATTTTGCGACACCAGAAGCAACTTCAGGATTTGGCCCTTCGACAGTCAAAGGGTTAATAAGGTCTTGAGGATGTCTCTCCAAGAGAGAACCCGCAGTAATGGATTTGAATTAGATAAGTTTATATTTAGAAAGGACATAGGAAAGTATTGGTTTGGAAATAGGGTAGTTGATGAGTGGAACAGTCTACCTAGTTAGGTTATTGAGGCTGGGACTTTGGGTAGTTTCAAATTTAGGTTGGATAAGTACATGAGTGGGAGGGGTTGGATTTGAGTGGGACTTTCACATCAGAGCTTATTTCTTGGGTGGCATTGAAAATTGGGTTGGGCAAATGTTTTGTTAGTGGGATGAATTGTAAAGGACCTGCCTAGTATGGGCCAACAGGCCTCCTGCAGTGTTCCTCCTTTCTTATGTTCTTATGTAATGCCTCACGTACCTCCACCACACTTACATTCTGTTCTTCTTCACTCCTAAAAGATGGTATACCTCCCTGGCCAGTGCATGAAATTACCGCCTCCCTTTCTTCCTCAACATTTAAAAGTTCCTCAAAATATTCTCGCCATCTACCTAATACCTCCCTTTCCCCATCTACTAATTCCCCTACTCAGTTTTTAACTGACAAATCCATACTTTCCCTAGGCTTTCTTAACTTGTTTAACTCGCTACAAAATTTTTTCTTATTTTCATTAAAATTTCTTGACAGTGCCTCTCACACTCTATCATCTGCTCTCCTTTTGCACTCTCTCACCACTCTCTTCACCTTTCTTTTACTCTCCATATACTCTGCTCTTCTTATAACACTTCTGCTTTGTAAAAACCTCTCATAAGCTACCTTTTTCTCTTTTATCACACCCTTTACTTCATCATTCCACCAGTCACTCCTCTTTCCTCCTGCCCCCACCCTCCTATAACCACAAACTTCTGCCCCACATTCTAATACTGCATTTTTTAAACCATTCCAACCCTCTTCAACCCCCCCACTACTCATCTTTGCACTAGCCCACCTTTCTGCCAATAGGCGCTTGTATCTCACCCGAACTTCCTCCTCCCTTAGTTTATACACTTTCACCTCCCTCTTATTTGTTGTTGCCACCTTCCTCTTTTCTCATCTACCTCTTACTCTAACTGTAGCTACAACTAAATAATGATCCAATATATCAGTTGCCCCTCTATAAACATGCACATCCTGGAGCCTACCCATCAACCTTTCATCCACCAATACATAATCTAACAAACTACTTTCATTACGTGCTACATCATACCTTGTATATTTATTTATCCCCTTTTTCATAAAATATGTATTACTTATTACCAAATTTCTTTGTACACATAATTAAAGGCTAGCCATTTACATTTACCCCTGGCACCCCAAATTTACCTACTACTCCCTCCATAATATTTTTACCCACTTTAGCATTGAAATCCCCAACCACCATTACTCTCACACTTGATTCAAAACTCCCCACGCATTCACTCAACATTTCCCAGAATCTCTCTCTCTCCTCTACACTTCTCTCTTCTCCAGGTGCATACACACTTACTATAACCCACTTTTCACATCCAATCTTTATTTTATTCCACATAATCCTTGAATTTATACATTTGTATTCCCTCTTTTCCTGCCATAGCTTATCCTTCAACATTATTGCTACTCCTTCTTTAGCTCTAACTCTATTTGAAACCCCTGACCTAATCCCATTTATTCCTCTCCATTGAAACTCTCCCACCCCCTTCAGCTTTGTTTCACTTAAAGCCAGGACATCCAGTTTCTTCTCATTCATAACATCCACAATCATCTCTTTCTTACCATTTGCACAACATCCACGCACATTCAGACTTCCCACTTTGACAATTTTCTTCTTCTTATTCTTATATTTATTTAAATTTTGTTGTGAAGACAAATACTAACGTTGCTCGGCCATAGAGGATCTCTGCTACTTTTGGTTGGATAGGCATTAGAGGTTCAGTGCATGATGCATCTCCATGAGGATTAGGAAGAGGAGACGTATTCTGAAAGATAAAATTACATTAATACTTTAATGTAGTAAATAGTTCAATTTAACTACATTTATGAATACAAGACAGTTAAGAACTGCTTAACACTAATGATAACTTTTGTAGTCAAGTCTTTCCGTTACTACTAGACATACAGTGAATATCTTTAACTAGAAATATTGGGACTGGAATGTGTTTTTATTTCATAGCTACTTATATGTATAAGAGTAGTATACTTTAATCCCTTACTGTCAAGTCTACCACAGAGTACTTTAAGTTACCTCAATCCTACCCTGATTACTCTAGCAAGATTAACATGAATAGGGTAACTAATCATAAATTACTATAATGTGACTAATGCAAAAATATCATTGCCCAATTTGTACTTACTTGTTGAGAAGACTGTTGCTTGTGAGAAACATCACATGATCTGATTAACTGTGAAACTACCTGATATAATCGCCCCAATTCAGCATACTGATACTTTATGGCTGGGCCTGGTCCTTCATCTAGCGCCACTAACATGAACATTTCTACCACATTTAACTGAAAAGAAATAATGACCTATGATAGAAGCATACATAAATATTAATACATGATACAAGAGAGAGATAACGTTATCTATGGAGGCAAAGAAGGGAATGTATGAAAGTATAGTAGTACCAACACTCTTATATGGGTGTGAAGCTTGGGTGGTAAATGCAGCAGCGAGGAGACGGTTGGAGGCAGCGGAGATGTCCTGTTTAAGGGCAATGTGTGGTGTAAATATTATGCAGAAAATTCGGAGTGTGGAAATTAGGAGAAGGTGTGGAGTTAATAAAAGTATTAGTCAGAGGGCAGAAGAGGGGTTGTTGAGGTGGTTTGGTCATTTAGAGAGAATGGATCACAGTAGAATGACATGGAAAGCATATAAATCTATAGGGGAAGGAAGGCGGGGTAGGGGTCGTCCTCGAAAGGGTTGGAGAGAGGGGGTAAAGGAGGTTTTGTGGGTAAGGGGCTTGGACTTCCAGCAAGCGTGCGTGAGCGTGTTAGATAGGAGTGAATGGAGACGAATGGTACTTGGGACCTGACGATCTGTTGGAGTGTGAGCAGGGTAATATTTAGTGAAGGGATTCAGGGAAACCGGTTATTTTCATATAGTCGGACTTGAGTCCTGGAAATGGGAAGTACAATGCCTGCACTTTAAAGGAGGGGTTTGGGATATTGGCAGTTTGGAGGGATATGTTGTGTATCTTTATATGTTTATGCTTCTAGACTGTTGTATTCTGAGCACCTCTGCAAAAACAGTGATAATGTGCGAGTGTGGTGAAAGTGTTGAATGATGATGAAAGTATTTTCTTTTTGGGGATTTTCTTTCTTTTTTGGGTCACCCTGCCCCGGTGGGAGACGGCCGACTTGTTGAAAAAAAAAAAAAAAAAAAAAAAAACAAGAGAGAGATGTAACGTAATAGAAAAGCCAACGCTGTAACTTCTGAGGTCTTTAAGACCACAAAAAAGAAATCCTTTATGAGGACTTTGACATGTAGAGATGATATTGAATGGGGGTCATGCAAGTACAAACGGTCAGTACATACTAACTTTCCTTCACACACAGGCTGGATTACAGTGCCTAGCATTTCACCAAAGGCTCACATCAACTGAATAACTCCTTCAGCCAATGCTCGCCTGGCAAATCTAAGTGTCCTTCAGGTATTTCAGAGAGTCTTTCTGGGCACATTATATGACATATGAGGCCCATCCTGGAGTACATAGCACCAGTATGGAACCCCCACCTGAGGAAGCACAGTATGAAACTGAAGTGCAGAAGTACACAACAAGGCTTGTACCCGAGATAAGGGGCACAAGCTTCGAGAGGCTAATGGAACTGAATCTAATGACACTGGAGGATAGAAGAACCAGGGAAAATATAACAAACAAAATTCCCATGACAATTAACAGGATGTAGACAAGGACAGCTGTTTGTGTGGAGAGAAATAAGAACTAGAGATCACAGCTGGAACTTAAAGACACAGATGAGCCACAGGGATGAAAATCAAATTGGTATATAATACCGACAGGTTGGTAGGTAAGACACATAGGCAACAGTTAGGCAACTATATTCCGAAACGTTTCACCTACAGATTGATAATTTAGACACATGTGCAAATCTTGGGTATCTTTATTGAGGAAACGTTTCGCCACACAGTGGCTTCATCAGTCCATACGTAGGAGAAACTTGAAGAACAGGAGGAGAATGAGGTAATCAGTCCCTCAACCTTGAGTCGATGTGTTCAGTCCATCAATCTTGAATAGAATACGGCATATCATCAACATGTCGGTTCTCTGAACCATTCATCTACAAATCTGTCAGACACTGCAACTTCTTGGGATCTTAATACTTAGGAATTCTTCGCTTGCCTAATTCTTGGGCACGACCTACTTCCACATTGAACAAATGTGACACGACCTATGACTGCTGCACCTCTCCTGCCATACGGTTTATAAGCTGCTTCTCCGCTGATATGCCGTATTCTATTCAAGACTGATGGACTGAACACATCGACTCAAGGTTGAGGGACTGATTACCTCATTCTCCTCCTGTTCTTCAAGTTTCTCCTACGTATGGACTGATGAAGCCACTGTGTGGCGAAACGTTTCCTCAATAAAGATACCCAAGATTTGCACGTGTCTAAATTATCAACATGTCGGTTCTCTGAACCATTCATCTACAAATTCACCTACAGATTGTTTCAGACTATAGAACAGAACTCCTCTCCAGGGTGAGGGACTGACAACCTCAAATCTATGACTTTAAGGGTGATGGACTGATTACATCATCTTCACATCTCTACTGCTCCTGCCTACTTCCTGTACTCGACTGAAGAAGCCTACTGTGTAAGCGAAACATTTCAGAATAAAGTTGCCTAACTGTTGCCTATGTGTCTTACCTACCAGCCACAGGGATGTTAGGAAGTATTTCTTCAGTCTCAGGGTGATTGGAATGTGAAATGATCTCAGTTATACGGTGGAGGCAGGCTCTATATAACAGCAGGTATGATAAAGCTCACAGGGCCAGGAGTCAGTCTGGCAAGAAGCAAGTTGAGAGGCATTGACAGGAACTAAGACTTGACCCCTGCAGCCACATATAGGCGAGTACATATAGGAGTGATGCCTTACTGTCAGTTGTATAAGTACCTCAGGATAAAACACACCACAGATGCATTACAGAATACTTGAGCGCTTTAGTGCATTTATCAACTATTGACAACACTACATTCACATCAAAACAAGAACCACAGCCATCCACCTCACTCCAATAGGGTTACTTCAACCCTTTTCACACACTACCATATCAACAAGCAATGCCAACTAAAATTTGAAATAAATTATTTTAGATTTAACAAGATTTTGTCGAGTTGCATAGCAAATATGGAGATGCCTGAACATAGCCCTATTTTCAAAGATGTTCTTCACATCACTGAGTGCTATTTTAAATTAAATGGAATCTGCTCTTTGAGGGTTGACAGTACAGTAGTACCTTGACTTTCGAGCGCCCCTAGTTACAAGTCTTCTGAGTTATGAACCGTAGCTTGGTCTATTTTTTGCTTTGAGTTGCTAGCCAAAATCCAAGTTATGAGTGAGCTTCAGATACACTGCCACTAGTTGGCGGCATATCTGAAGTCAAATCCAACTCTGTACCCAGTGGAATGTCAGATACTTCGTCCCATCCCACATGGTCTTCCAAGACATAACTGGAAGGATAATACTCTCACACTAATCCCAGATTGTAGCGAGGCACCTCGTCCCTTGTTTGGTATTGTATAAATCCGGGGAAGAGGTAATCTCCATTTCAACACTCAGAGGTTTTCCAGAAACATTAAGATGAGTGGAGTAGTGAGAGTGGTGGGTGTGGTAGTGAGGGTGGTAGTGGAGTAGAGATGGTGGTGGATGGAGTAGTAGTAATGGTGGGTAGAGCAGATATGGTGATGGTGGTGGGTGGAGTAGTGAGAGTGGTGGATGGAGTAGTGATGGTGGTGGGTAGAGTAGTGATGGTGGTGGGTGGAGTAGTGATGGTGGTGGGTGGACTTGTGAGGGTGGTGGGTGGTAGAGATAATGGTGGGTGAAGCAGATATGGTGATGGGTGGAGTAGTGAGGTAGTGGGTGTAGCAGAGATGGTGGTGGGTGGAGCAGTGAGGGTGGTGGATGGAGTAGTGACAATGGTGGGTGGAGAAGATATGGTGGTGGGTGGAGTGAAGGTGGTGGTGGAGTAGAGATGGTGGTGGGTGGAGTAGAGATGGTGGGTGGAGTAGAGATGGTGATGGGTGGAGTAGAGATGGTGATGGGTGGAGTAGTGGTGGTGGTGGGTGGAGTAGTGATGGTGGTGGATGGAGTAGTGATGGTGGTGGGTGGAGTAGTGATGTTGGTGGGTGGAGTAGTGATGGTGGTGGGTGGAGTAGTGATGTTGGTGGGTAGAGTAGTGATGTTGGTGGTAGAGTAGTGATGTTGGTGGGTAGAGTAGTGATGTTGGTGGGTAGAGTAGTGATGTTGGTGGGTAGAGTAGTGATGGTGGTGTAGTAGTGATGGTGGTGTAGTAGTGATGTTGGTGTAGTAGTGATGGTGGTGTAGTAGTGATGGTGGTGTAGTAGTGATGGTGGTATAGTAGTGATGGTGGTATAGTAGTGATAATGGTGGGTGGAGTAGATATGGAGGTGGGTGGAGTAGTGAGGGTTGTGGGTGTAGCAGAGATGGTGGGTGGAGTAGTGAAGGTGGTGGGTGGAGTAGATGATGGTGGGTGGAGTAGTGAAGGTGGTGGGCAGAGTAGTGAAGGCGGTGGGCAGAGTAGTGAAGGCGGTGGGCAGAGTAGTGAAGGCGGTGGGCAGAGTAGTGAAGGTGGTGGGCAGAGTAGTGAAGGTGGTGGGCAGAGTAGTGAAGGTGGTGGGCAGAGTAGTGAAGGTGGTGGGCAGAGTACAGATGGTGGTGGGTGGAGTAGATATGGTGGTGGGTGGAGTAGATATGGTGGTGGGTGGAGTAGATATGGTGGTGGGAGTAGATATGGTGGTGGGTGGAGTACATATGGAGGTGGTGGAGTACATATGGTGGTGGGTGGAGTACATATGGTGGTGGGTGGAGTACATATGGTGGTGGGTGGAGTACATATGGTGGTGGGTGGAGTACATATGGTGGTGGGTGGAGTACATATGGTGGTGGGTGGAGTACATACAGAGGTGGGTGGAGTACATACAGAGGTGGGTGGAGTACATATGGTGGTGGGTGGAGTAGTGAGGGTGGTGATCCCCAAAGTAAATACACTTTATAAAACCAGTTTATTTCTTTACATTCTCTTTTACGTTTTTATACAATATTTCTTATTTATAAATACACTTTTCTTATTTAATCCTCTGATTGTCGCAAGCCCATTTCTGAAACTGTCATTCTGTCGCAAAATACTTGGGGGGAAGGAATCTTCTCATGAAATGATAAGAGAATCTTTTCCCGGTGTCAATGATACCAAAAGTACGAAATTTGATGGAAAGCTCATGGAATTATGCTCTCGCAAAGTTAGTGATC